AGAAGCTTGATGGAGTCCCCAAGCCTACCTGCTGTTCTCTCTGATTACCCCATGTGAGTACCCCCACCATAGACACACACACACACATTCCCCTAAAAGCTTCATAAAGTCCCCTGAAGGCAAATCGATAGTGGGTTGAGGCGTTAAGTCCTGTGTCCCTTGTGGAGAAGGGAATGAGATGAGCATGGCAACAAGCAGGCTCAAGCCTCTGAGAAACAGGTGAAAACCCCTGTTACTGAGAAGAAAGGGAGGAATCAGTCCAAACACCAGCTGCATAAATACCTCAACAAGCATGGAGACCCCGGAATAGTCAAAAAAGGTCAAGCCACTGCAATCCAGGATTAGAGAACACTTCTCATGAGGGCAGGACTGTGGTGCTTCTTCTGCAGGAGAAACAGACGTGAATCAGGAAGCATTCTTAGCGATTTCTGCTGCTGACTTCCAATGGTGGTAAGATTAACAATGGCCTTATGTTTAACAACACTAATTTGAACAGTGTTTTAATTTTTGGACATTTAGTAATTTATTATTTGTGAATTTTTGAGTTCAGTTAAGTGATAGTAGATTACTAACTATGAAAATGTTTGGGTTCCATCAACAGTGACATAAAATTTTCCCTTCCATTTTCTCAGAATGTTCAGGCCATTGTTTGTCTTTTCCTTTTTAGGCCCAAGTTTACTATCTATTATTCTTTTAATCAAAACATGTATATATTTTCTGACCATCCAAAATAAAACAAAATAAAATCAAACAAAACAAAATACTCATGGCATGTAGTTGTGGATAATAATTTATGGAAGCTATTTAAAGAGAAGCAATGCATGATTTCTTTTCTAAATTAAAAAAAAAAAAAACCCTAATGGTAAAGTTACCAATTCACTTAAATGAAAATTTAAATATCATCTACATTTCTGAAATCTTTCTCAAAATAAGTGAAATTTTCCTTTACACAGTATCCTTTCAGTTCTGACATTCCACTAATTTTACAGCTATAACCTTGTGTTCTAAGCTTCTGAGTAAATCTTCCTGAGCAATAAAAATCACATCATCCTAGAAAAGAGTTAAGTGAATGCACAGCTAATACCCTGCCCTGAGCAAAATGAGGTAAGCTCGGAGCGTGTGCAGAGGAGACGACTAATGTATACCCATGTGGGATATGGTAAATGATGGGCTTTATCTACAAAAAAACAACATTTCAGTAAGAAATTAACCATCAGGTGTGGATGGGCAATTAACTCCAGACTGTGGAAGCCAGTTCTCTCCTGTGGAATACTCATTAACTCCTTTAATTAAAAAGTATTTGTAGTTGCATAATTTAGGAGTGTTTTTCATATACTTCAAAAGATTCTTGACAGCCTGTGAGTCATTCATAATTTTTCTAAAATATTTTTGTTGATATGAACCTTTGAGAAGCAAATGCACATCTCAAATTACTCAAGTATGCAAGGAGGTAAGAAACATTTAGGACAAACTACAATACCACCTTAGAAAACATGTGCATATATTACTAGGCATGTCATTTCTTCATTCATTCATTCAAGCTGTCAGCTAATCTAGATGTGCTGAGCCTAGCTGAGAGTAAAGGCAGTGGTGAACAAGAAGATGATCATTATGGGTTTGCCTTCAATAGACCCATACTCAAGTAAAGAAATGAGTCAGTTGAACTAGTAATTTGGTGTTGAGGGCCAGAAAAAGGTGTGCAGAAAGAGCTAAGGAGGCATGGAAATGTGATGTGATAGAAAGAATAATGGTCCCTCAAAGATGTATACATCCTAATCCATAGAACTACTGACGTGTTGCCTTACATGGCAAAACGAACTTTGTAGAATTGATTAAATTAAAGATGCCGGGATGGGGGAGTTATTCTAGATTTCCCAGGTGGCTTCAATATGATCATGAGGAGACAGGGGGTTCAGAGTCACAGAAGATGTGGTGACAGAAGAAGAGGTCAGAGAGAGATCAGAAGAGGCCATGCTGCTGTCCTGAAAACAGAGGAAGGGCCCATAAACTAAAGAGCACAAACATCCTCCAGAAATCAGAAAAGGCATCAAGAAAATGATTCTCCTCTACAGCTCCAAGAAGGAATACAGCCTTACCAAAACCTTGATTTTATGTCCAAAATCATTTCAGACATCTTTTATCCAAAACTGTAAAGTAATAACTGTGTGTTTGAAGCCACTACGTCTGTGGCAACTTCCTATCGCGATGATAGGAAACACGTGGGTTGCTGAATGGGGCAGTAGGAAGAAGGAAGGAATGACAGGAGCTTGTTTAGATGTCAAGGTCCATGATGGCAGAAATCTTGTCTACTTTCTTTATCCTTGAATATACAGCCTCTATTATTATGCCTGGATTCATTAGATGTTCAAAACATATCAGTGAACAAGAACATGATTTGATGCAAGAATAAAAGGAAGAATGTGGTGTGTGAGCTGAGAGTGATGATTACAAGTAGATGAGTAGGAGGTAAAGCTAAGAGAGAACTCTCTAGGATGTCTCTTGGTAGTAGTATAAATTGACTAAAGTGTTTCTGGGATGTAAATAACTGAACATGATAATAGAAAATTTCTCCATAGATTGAGCAATTTTTATTTTCATTAAGAGAAATACCGTGATTTCCACTGTATAATTTAAGTAGCTTTTTAAAAAATAATTTTGACCCTTCAATCAGGTATGTGCTCAACTACAAGTCTTCCCCTTCTGAAAAGATTGTCGACGAGGGGAAGTTTAATTCTCTTCCGTGTTATGCACTCACTCAGTTTCTGTCCCCCCTTGTTTTGGTCACTTCCAGATCTATTCTGTGTCCCCCCACCTCACTGAATGTATCCTGAATGACCCCCTCATTAACCTAAATCCACCATCCTCCCATCTAAACTCATCTTTCCTTTTAGCCACTTTCATGGGTTCCCTATTACTTCCAGTTTGACAGTTTCAGAGGTTCAAAGTCATTATTTTCCTTGTTCTCTCCTTTTCTCCAACAAATAAACAGTGCCAGCTTGTGTTCATTACATTGCTGAAATCTCTTTTGAGCTCATCATTTCCATTTCCATGACCTGGTGGTCAAAGAAGAGAAAGATAGAGCCTTCACCTCCCCTTCTGTAGGTTATCCCCTATCCTATCTTTTTGGCTTATCCCCTGACAGACAACATTCCTACCAGTCCTCCTGTACCTTAAAGGTATAGCTTTAAGTACTCTCATAGCTGAAGGTGGTGAAGCCCATGCTGCACTTGACTGTATATTCCCTTGCATAGATCTAGTTGACTTGCTTTCTACTTTACAGGATTAAGAAGGGCTGTGTGTCCCTCAGTTTATTTTACTTCTTCTCTATTAACCCTGAAAGAAAGTATAAGATAAGGAGAAAAGAGAGATAATTCTAGTCATGAGGATCCAAATAAAGGATGAGACCCAGGGATGAAGAAGTTAGATATTAGGGCCATGAATTGATTTCTCCGGCTGGGAAAGAGCACTTGTATAATGCGTGGTAAAGGGGAAGCAATTGAAAATGATAAGGAAGCATTGCAGGTGCCACACTGGGAAGAAGGGACTTGATCCTCAAAAGGAAACCATTATAATCTATGAAGCATGGGGGGTGGGGAGGGGTTAAAGTAAAGGTGACTTAAGATTGATCTACCACTACATGATGGAATAGAATAAAGCAGGGATGGTAGCTAGACCTCAGCTGGATGTCAACTCTAGCCATTTTTAGTAGCTTCTTCAAGTACCATGTTGAGAAGATTCAGAGGTTACTTTGACTCATGGGAAAAAGTTCCATGACCTAGTATTCTGCCTGGCACGAGCACACAGACCAGGTATTTCCCATCTATAGAATAAAACAAAGAACATCACATAGCAGAAAAAAATTATGAAAGTTATACTAATTCATTTTGAGCATGATTATAGACAGAATCAGAGCCACAGAAGTGAAAGTGTAAAGATAATGAAACTAAGAGTTGTAGGTTTCAGTAACTGGAATGTGAAATCAAGAACAAGTGCAGGAGACATCACCTCAACATGGAAAGCCCAGGGAGGTAGAGCAGGATGGTGTTAATGAGCAAGAGAGAAGAGGACAAGGATGCTTTGGAGAGTCAGGAGGGGGAGAGGAGGAGGATGTCAGAGAAAAGATTCTGATTGACTAAACCTGACTATAATGAAAGGGCCACTGGGTGCCAGAAAATGTCACCAGAATTCAGTAAAATGTAGCTGCCTGCCCTTTAGCTACTGTTCTGTGTAACGTGGGTTTAGTCTAGGGAGGCAGAGGGAAAAACTCTCTTAAAAATATTTCTCAGTTTACCAAGAGAATAAGATACTCAAGAAATTAAATGAGTACTATAGTGACAGTATCATTTAAGTGTTCTTCGAGACCACAAGGTAGGAGAAAGTATATTTGCCACAGTAAGTTAGAAAAGACCAGAAAAGTAACATAGGAGGTGAATACATGTTGATACGGGTCGATGCAATTAATTCATATATTTCTATTCTATTCTATCATTTATGTCATATATTTAGAATATGTTACATGCTATAACTTAATAGATAGTTCCAGTTTTGGAAGAATTATAAACAATGCTTCCATGAAGACTCTTCCATGTGTTTCTAGATACAACTATTAAGGGATTCTTTGTTTATTGTTTTTAGAAGTGCAAAAATAAGTGTAACTCAGCTTTCCCTTTATTTTTAAGTTTATACAAATGAAATCAGAATTTTACAGTGTTTTCCTTTGTCTTTCTATTTTTCCTCAATATTTATAGTAGGTGTTCAATTTTTATTATTATTGTATTATTATACAATATTATTATTGTATATTATAATAATGTACAATAATATTATACAAATATACTACATAATAAGTTAATACTTGTGTACATGTACTACAGTTTATGTATACTTGCTGTATTTGTTGGACATCTGAGTTGTTTCTAGGTTTGGATAGTTATAAATAATATTTTTGTGAACATTTCTGTTTGTGTACCTTGCTGCACATGAGCTATCATTTCTAGGAGCAGAATTACTGGTCATAAGGTATGTGTATCTACAACTTTATAAGATATTTCCAAACTATTTTCCAAGGTGGTATTAAGGGTTGTAATCTAAAAAATCCAAAATCTGAAATGCTCTAATATCAAAAACTTTCTGAATACCACCATAACACCACATTACCCAGAATGCAACATATTTTTCACCATACTAATGGCGTGTCACATTTACCATTATGTGTGAATGAGTGTAAGAACACTTCTGCTTATTGGCAGAATCAAGATGATGGTGATGCCAAACCACCACATACTGTCCACACAGTGTCTGAGATAATGGTACCTTTGCTTTCTGATGGTTTAATGCATACTAAGTTTGTTTCATGAACAAAATTATTTGAAACATTGTATAAAGTTGCTTTCAGATTAATGTGTATAAGTGTATATAAAATATTACTGAAGAGGAAAGTGGAGGAAAGAGTAGAGAAGTGGAAGGAGAAGAGGAATAAAGGTGGAAGAGAGAACAAAGAGGGAAGGAACAGCAGGAGGGATAAGGAGGATGGAGGAGGAGAAAAAAGAGGAGGGAAGATGAAGAGGAGGAAAGGAGGGGGAAGAGCAAGATGAAGAGGAAGAGGAAGGAGGGAAAGAGGCAGTAGGGGGAGAAGGGGAGGAAGATGTCATTCTCTGGTCCACATCAAGTCAGAAGCTCAGATTTTCTGTTTCCTTAAAGCTGACTCACCATTACAGTTGCCATTGGATAAATTGAGCAGCGTGTTTTGTTCACACTGCAACAAAAACAAAGAAGAAATATGTTATGAAAATTTCTTTCTGTCTGCGAAAAAAGCACATACTTCTTTTCTCTATAGAGAATAACAAAAGAGAATAGTCTTCAATAATTAATTTTCACTAGCCTCGTTTTCAAAATGATGAATACAACAAACTTGAAACAATAAAAGGATCATTCTTGTTAAGTAGATAATTCGTGTCATCAAGTCAAACTATCTTTTTTAGAATAGTTTTCTCTAGAAAACTAAGATTGTTTTGATTTTGGATCAGAAATGAAACAGTTGCATGTATATTTTTATGTAGCATATTCAATCAAAAATTAACTTCATGGGCTTGGCACCTATAGCTCAGCTGTTAGGGCACTGGCCACATACACCAGGGCTGGTGTGTTCAAACACAGCCTGAGCCTGCTAAACAAACAAAATAAAAAATAGCCAAGCATCATGGTGGATGCCTGTAGTCCTAACTACAAGGGAAGCTAAGACAAGAGAATCACTTGACCCCAAGAGTTCGAGGTTGCTGTGAGCTAGTGATACCACAGCATTCTACCAAGGGCGACATAGTGAGACTCTGTCTCAAAAAAAAAAAAAAAATGAAAATTAACTTCATGCATTAACATAGCATTCTGAAAGGGAGAGTCACGGATCACATATTTCAGAGCACATAAAAGTTAACCATTCATCTGCTCCATGAAAATGACTAAGAAATATTCCTGATTTATGGAAAAAACAGAGAACAAAAATAGCTCTATATGCCACACTTGAGCTTCTCTGGGGGTTGAGACCTCTAATGCGATCACACGCTATCTACTTCTCACATAACATACTATTATTATTTTTGTTGATGATGATAGCAATTAGTATTTCTTCAGCACTTCATACCAAAGACTTTATATTAATTATTTAAGCCTTAAAATAATCCTAACAAAGTTACTAATCTCATTTTCCATAGGATAGAGTGAAAGATTATAAAGTTTAAATATCCTGACCAAAGTCACAAAGCCAGGAAAAGCCTGGGCTAGAACTGAGTCTGAGCCATTCCAGCCCCACACCTTCCTGTTCCCAACCACGGCATTAAACCGCTTCCCTCGTGCAATCAGTTCTCATCTTATCTGAAAGGCTGGCTGGGCCACTTCTGTTTTATCTTCTTGATGTCTAGCTTGGACAATTGTTAGCTGTACAATTTCCACCAGGTTATTTCATATTTCTAAGTCTCAATCTTCTTTCTTTTATTCAGATAAAGCCTCTTCCATGATAGGGTAGGTGCTGATTGAGTTAGACAGCCTAAATTAGGGATTGGCCCCTGAGACACATTCAATAAATATGAATTTCCTTCTCCTCCTCTTACAAATACCTTGTCTGATATCTTCTACGTAGAAGATTTCACTTTGAAGAATTTCAAATAATGTATGTATGTCTTTAAGGAGGTGGATCCTAACTCCATACTCATCCCAGAGATCAAGGTTAACATCACCAGTGATAAATCACATTCCTATGTGCCCTTGATCCAAAGTCATGAGAAGGGTACTTTACCTCTACAGCTTCCTCCCAAGAAGCTCCCCATGCCTAGAAGGATCTCCCACTTGGTTTAATGCTTTGCTGTCACTGTCTTGAAATGCTTAACAATTGTTGAAAAAGAATATCAGATTTTCACTTTGCACTGGGCCGCTACAAATTACATATCTGATTCTGTATATGGGGCCTCTGTAGATCAGGGAAAGGCCCAGAAGCAGAAGCATGAAGCTATGATGGACATGAATGTGATTCAGGACACTCCTGATAGTTCAGAAATGGGAGGGCAAAGTGGTCTATGTACCTGAGTGACTGGGAGATAAGTCATGCTCAAGGATATAAGAAGAAAAAGAGATCTTTCTGATCTAGAATGGTAAAGAATTGCTTCACAGAGGGCATAGTTAACAAAACTAATAACATTAACTACGGTTCTATAGTAGTGAACAGACTAAGCACTATTCTAAGTGCTTTGCATATATTAGCTCATTTAATTACCTTGATTATACATGAGAAATCTGAAGCATGAAGATTGAGTATCTCAGCTAAAGTCACACAACTAGTAAGTGGCAAATAGGGGCAGCTTAGGCCACGCTTTTAACACTGAAGAGGGCTTAAGGATTCAAATGATGATAGACAGTTCATTTGCATTAAATCATACTGCTACACATTTGAGTCAATATCTCGGTTAACTGACATTATTTATGGAGATAAAGAATTTTGGAATTTTTGAATAATTTTATAGTGACGGCAATAATTTATGTTTCTCTGAAGTCATTTATCATATTCTATTACTTAAAAGTTTGCTCCAACACTTTTTTTGTTAGAATATTAGCAAAAAATGATTTGAATTAAGCAATTTGTCTTGTTTTGGTCATAGTGCCTGGTACACATGTCCACTAGATATAGGGTAAATGAATGAATGAATGAACAAGAGAGTGATTACTTAAAAGCTAATTACAAGAGCCAAATGAAAAGTCTAATGCAATGTTCAGTTTTGCTGAGGGGAGAGTTCTCCAAACACTTCCAAAATAAATTATTATTTCCTCGATACATTTTTTCAGTGATATAAGGCTGCCTATTGCATGAAATTCAAACTACTGGTCCTACCTTGCTGATATCATCAAGTAGCTGGTTGCTGGCGTTCTCCTTTTGGATTATGTTCATTAAATCTGTATGAAATTTCTTTGCATTTAGGAAAACAAGTGGGTTGTTTATTGAGATAAGTTTCATGTGCTGCAGGGTTTCCTTTTAGAGGAGGAAAAAAATAGACTTATAACTCCAAATTAAAGACAAGAGAAGAACTACATCCAGCAAAAAATAAATCTCACAAATCCAAATACCACTCAATTGTGTAAGCAATCTTTTTCTAAACGTTTCAATTATAAAAATTTATTTAGAGACCTTCATATACTATCACACGTCTTAGGGGGAACATATACTTCCTCTTTACTAAGAAACAGTAGTTATGAGATAAGATGCAGCTTTTCAGAAAGAGGCTCTTATGCCTACGGACGAGGTTCTGTGGAGGCAGTTGCCTATAATACCTAAAGACTACCAGGAAGACTGAAGACCTACCCTCCATTCAATCTATCCATTTAAAATTAATTTACTTCACCATCAGTATTTTTTAAAAGTGAAAATGTGTCCTGAAGGGTCAACTGTCAGTCATTTACCCCATAATGGCATAGCTTTCTTTCAGCTAAATATAAATTGAGAAGTGACCGGTAGTCCTAATTGGAATTCAGAGACACTGAGAGGCAGAGTCAGGAATATAACTTGACTTCGGGTAGGTCTAGGTTACTGGATTGCCAGGATATAGGTGGGAGACGCAGAAAGAGAGAAATAAAAGTTTTAACCCAAAAGGCATCTGCTTTGGCCATTTGCCCAGGTATTACTGGCAGCACTTGATGGGCCACAACCAGGGCCATCCTTTCTTTGACCTTTGGAGGCCAGGTATCTAACCTAGAAATGAGAGGGTGTCAAATTCTATGAAATGACAACTCCTTACCCACTAAGTAAATCAATTCTTCAGGTTTTAGTGCTTCCAGAGAAGAGGAGATGCAGAGAATAGTGATGCATTCAGGGAGAGGACAGAAAAACGAAAGAAAGAAAGAAAATATTAAGTATGTTAACTTGGAAAATTCATTTAATTTTTCAGTTTACTCATTTTTAAAATCAGGTAAGTGTTTATGCTAAATAATCTCAAAGTTTTGATAGCTCCCCAACTGATTAAACTCTAGAAAGTAATGTGATTTGCAACAAATAATTCAGAAAAAAAAAAAAAAAGCTTAAGTTGCCAAACTAACTTTTTTTTTTTGCATTGTTTTGGCTGCGGCTGGGTTTGAACCCGCCACCCTCAGCATATGGGGTTGGCACCCTACTTCTTGAGCCACAGGCACTGCCCAGTTGCCCAACTAACTTTTAGTTGAGTAAACCTCTTAGAAACCAAAAATAAAATATTACTTCTTAGTGATAATATTAGAAATACATATGTTTGTTAAAGAGCAGAAATTCCAGTTATTCCAGATTAAAAAAAATACTCTTGGTCAGGCACACAGGCTCACACCTGTAATTCTGGCACTTTGGGAAGCTAAGGCAAGAGGATCACTTGAGACCAAGAGTTTCAGACCAGCCTAGGAAAGATAGTGAGGCCTCATCTCTACAAAATATTTTCAACATTCAGCTGGGCATAGTGGTGTACACCTGTAGTCCCAGCTACTCTGGGGGCTGAGGCAGGATGATCTCTTAAGCCCAGGAGTTTGAGGTTGTAGTGAGCTATGATCACACCACTGCACTGCACCAGAGCAAGACCCTGTCTCACAATAATAATAATTCTCAATGGATTTGAATTCACTGAGTGGGAAGAGACCTTCCAAACCAGGCTTGGCTGTCCCACGTGGAGCATGGGCGGAAGAGTGCGTACATGGAAGGAAGAAATGCCAGATCATTCTGTTCAAGTTAGTTAAAAATTTCATCTAACAGTTTGTATTATTTTAGTTTTTCCTCTTATTTTTTTATGAAAAACACTAAGTAACCAGTGAGGTTTACCATTTTAATAAAATTAGAATTTTCAAGTGCCATCGTTATTATTCAGGGTAGTGATAAGACTGGAGCCAACCACGTTTTAAAGTTGTAGAGAAATTTCTAGTATTGCCTCCAAATCCCCTCATCCATTTCCCCACATGTGTAGCCCAAAAAGAAGGTAGGGATCAAGCAGAAATTCTTAACAAGTGAATTTTTAAGATTAAAAATAGTTTAGGAAGTTGACACCCTGGGTGTGACAGAAGAGCTCGTGATGCTACTCCCTGCTCCCTGCCCATTGGGAAATATCCTGACCCTGGGAGGACAGCTCCCTCGGTTCTGAAAGGAATCACGAGATACCAAAGCAAGTGCAGGAGAAAAATAAAGGGAAAAGGTTAGCCAAACATTTACGAAGCAAGTTCAAAGGGAGGGCAATTTTTTTTTATTTGGCAAAATATTTAAAGTCAACATTTTTTTCCTCACTTTAGACTGTTTTGGTCATCCCTTAGGACAAGAAACCAGAACTCAGACACAATCAATTGGCCATCCTTAGCAGGGACAAGGCAAGGTAATTTATGCAGTTGTTTCCTAAGAAAGATGTCCCCTGTTCATAAACCGGTCCTAGTGCCTTTCCATAATGATTCCATTTCATTGTCCTCTGCTAACAATACGGTCTCATTCACTGAGCTTTCTTTTCTTTATAAAATAATATCATAAACAACTTTGCTTCCTCCCTTCCCTCATTCTTCCTTATCTTCCTCCATCACTTGATTCAGAATGGACTGTCAGTTTGGTTTGATTACTTTATGCGACTTAATAAGGAAAAAGAGGTTTCCAAAAGCCTGAACTGATGTGGGCCATGATTCTACTGTGAACTGTGTAGCTCTGTGAACCATAATCGCATCTTATCTGAATGGTGAATCCAAAAGTATTTTCTTTGGTTCTAGTGATTTGTCATGCGTATGCTGCCACGTGTGTGGTGGTCACATATATACCACGGGAAGGTCATACAAATTAAAAATAGAATTGTCATGTTTTCCACTGTCATAATTTATCTTATCATTATAATATCTTAAAACTATTTCACCAACAAAAATTATTAATAATTTCACGAAGGAAAATAAACTCACATTGTCTGTTTCTGTCTTTACTTTAAATTCCATTTCTTTCAGGTATTTTATATTTAGAGTCTTTGCTCTAAAATCAAAGCAGATAGAAAATAAAACAGGTCATTTTCTAATCACTGCATTAACATTGAAGAGATAAAAAGGATAAGTCATTTTATCTTAACAATTAGAATGTCTCTGAACTGGTTTAGATCCTATAACAATTTGTTTCTAAGACATTAGTAAATCTATACATCTCTGGGATACCCGGGAATAGAAGATAACAGCAGAGGCATCTAAGTAGAGATTAATCAATGTAATTTTCTTCATTTGAGGACCCAGAGCCCCATAATAGATGGATTGGTGCAGAAAAGTTAGAAGAGGTCAAGGAGTTTGCAATATTTGATAAAAATTTTATTTTAGAGCAGCAGTTCTCAACAATGAAAATACATTGCATCATTAGCAAGATAGAGAACCACTATTTTAGAGAAAAAGAAGGAAAGAGAGAATCAATGGCAAGATAGGACTAGATAATAAAGAATCTGCGGCTCGGCGCCTGTGGCTCAAGTGGCTAAGGTGCCAGCCACGTACACCCAAGGTGGTGGGTTTGAATCCAGCCCAGGCCTGCCAAACAACAATGACGGCTGCAACCAAAAAATATAGCTGGGCATTGTGGTGGGCGCCTGTGGTCCCAGCTACTTGGGAGGCGGAGGCAGGAGACTGGCTTGAGCCCAGGAGTTGGAGGTTGCTATGAGCTGAGATGCCACGGCACTCTACCCAGGGGGACAGCTTGAGTCTCCTGTCTCAAAAAAAAAAAAAAAAAAAAAGAATCTGCATTTATAGATTCTACTAAAACAGACTCTCTGGAGATAAAAGTAAACATTTATCAGAACATCTGGTGTTCCAAATAATTTCCAGGGAAGGATGAGAATGAGCAGAAGCGTTATCTAGTGAACACTGGGGAAGCAGAAGAAGAGTTGGTCAAAATAGGGGAATGGTTTATACAACAAAAAGACAAAGAGAGTGTGTTCTCCAACTAAGCTGTCTAAAAAAGTTACTTATGTAGATCTATCTCTAGATTTATATCTATAGCTATAAATTTATCCGTCTTCTGAAAAACAAAATTTTTTGAAGTTTTTTATTTTTCCAAATGATTACATTGCTACATGTTTTATATCCCATTGGATACTGTATCTCTTCACTTAATTAAGAAATATCTCTAATGTGGCATGTATGGCTAAGGGGGTTATATATTTTAATATATTATATATATTCTATGTTGTAATGTTGACAAGAAATAATGAAATGAGAATTAAATTAAAAAGCTTCTACACAGCAAAAGAAATAACAGAGTGAATTAACAACCTACGGAATGGGAGAAAATACTTGCAAATTATACATCCAACAAAGGACTAGTGTTCAGAATCTGCAAAAAAGTCAAACAGATCAGCAAGAAGAGAAACAGCCCCTATATCTCTGCGTTAAGACTCGCATTGCTAAATATCATCTGGAGATAAAACATTTTCTTATCTGCTTGCCTCTGATTCTCCAAAAGCAAGATTGCAGTACAATAAGTTATAAAGAAACAAAAGAAACTGGCGACACTATATACTCTCCTGCTGTGTCAGAATAAACAGCATTTAAATTAGATCTTACCTTGGGAAGCGTCCTATCACTATAGCGATGGTACAGACCACTCCAAATAGCAGTCCCACGTTGGCAGCAAAGCATATTGTAAATATATATGTACTGACCCATATGCCCTGAAAGAGAAATAGGAATGCTTATCTTTCTGTCATGATTGCTAAGTGCCTCACAATCTTATTTTACAACATTCCTGTGACCAAATCTCTCAGCAAGAATATACCATTTAAGATGTGGTCAAGGGAAGCCAAGGATACAGAAACAAGCACTGGCTCCACCAGACTCTCAGCAGCTGGGTGGGGAAAAGCTCATTCTTTTACTTTCAGACCCTGCCAACCCTCATTTCGATCCTCAACAAACACTATATTTATAGATCTGTCAATAGTTGGTTGAGGTGTTTGGTTCAAAAGCATGGCATAATTTCCCACTGGTTTCTCATTTAATGTAATAATACAACAAGCAAGGATTTGCTGTTTTCTGATCATTCCCAACAACATTCTGTTTTCCAGGATGGCTGTAAAAATAACTAATGTAGTTTATTATTATAGAAAGCTCTCAAAGCCCAATGTTAAAGGGACTAAATCAAACAACACTGTTACATCAACCACTATGAAGAGCATTATAATTTTATTTGCAAGGAGCCATTCATTCGGAAAGCTAAAAAATCAGAACCAATTTAGTTCTTGGGAAGATTTCAAAAGATTATGAGAAACGCTAACTCTCTTTTAGTTAGAATTCCAAAGTTATTGCAGTTTTGCTCATTACTTAAAATTACAATTTGCAATAAGATATTATATTACGGTTGACATTTCCAAGCTTAGAGCTGAAAAAAACATGTTTAAAAGCAAAATAATTTTTTAAGCCGCAAGGTTAAATTTTCTAAGCTCAAATCCTACATTTATCAAATAGCACTCTAACGCAATTTTTAAATTATTTTTTCCATTAAGTAACCTGCATCCCTATGTCTACGAATACAATTCTAAATTGATTTCTTCCTATCCCAACAGCTGTAAGAGCACTTTAAAACATCTTCAAAAACATGATTCAATTCCACGCACAAATGAAGAAGCCAGAAACTTCTCTGTGATATGAAAATAGCATAAAATGGTGGGGAATGGAGTTCAGGCCTTTTGGTTTTTATTGTTTCAGGTTTATTGAGGGTACAAAGAATTAGTTTACACTGTTAACATTCGTTAAGTAAAGCCACTATTATAACTGTGTCTGCCCCCAAGACGTGTGCCATACACTGTAAAGTTGTTTCCCGTAAGCAGGGCACCCCCACCCCCTCCCTCCTGCCCTCTCCTCACTCCCTCATTCCCCTCACCCCCCTTAAATTGATTTGAGTTTTTCTCCTATATGGGTATGTATTAGATAGTCTACTGGCTTCATATTAGAATTGAGTACTTGGAACTTTGTTTTTAATAACAATAAGCTTAAAGCAAATGTTTCTAAAGGGCTTTTTTTTTTCTTGAAACACTTTTCTTTTGTCTGTATTATTTATCTATATTGAGCTTGACTGATTCTTAATAATGGGCTATTCTGAAAAGCTGAGCCCCTGGAAGCAAATGGAAGGGTTCTTTTTGTAAATTTCCTTTTGATGTAGAGGAAACAAACATTTTGGAGTAACAGAGCAAATGTATTTTAAATAATTCTCATACCTATAAATGTAAAGCTAACATTTCACTTGTTATGAGATCACTCCCAGCCTGTCATCTCATAAATTAGGACAGTTAGATATTTTTCCTTTATTCAGATGAATGGTCATTTGAGCCTTCTATTTGTAAATAGGATGTTTTTCCTTCCCAACATGCTACACTGTGCTTAATCATATACAAAACAAGGCTGCAAGGTTTTGATCATGACTCCAATTTCCCATGATGGCTCTGGGTCTTACTCATCACTGTGTGCTGACTGAACCTGCCTAAGTGCCAGAATAAGATCAATAAGATCTTACTGCAAGCTCTAGACATCTAAAGCCTCCTGGCCAACCTCCATGATTCAATATGGCATAGGGTACTAAGAAGTCTGTTCCTTGTCACTTAAAAACCACAGAGCCTGGAGGCCAGGATTCATCAGAGTAACCAAAAATTTTGGTACTATATGGTTCTATTTTTAAAGCATATTTACTCTGCCACAACATCATCTATTATAACATTTTCATGACACTTAGATGTTTCTTGGGGCTAAAGTTATAGCTTTGAAAAAATATCAAATAGAAATTAATAACATAGATCAGCAAAAAGTTCCACTAGTTAGAATAATCCCAGAAATATTCTCTAACAATTCCTGTTAAGGACCTAAATGCTGGTTGTCACAGTTATCAGGAATCAGTAATTCTGACTCCCTTTTATTTCATTATGTGTGCCTATTTGCTCCCTTTCCAATTTCGCACTCAAATAAAAACTATTATTTTTCCCAAATAGAAACCAACCCTAATGTTGACTTTAAGTAGAAAAGAAAAAATAGTACCTTCTTTTGAAAACTGCGTCAGCATAAAGCACAGTTTAAGAGCTACTGGATCACTAACACCCCCCCCCCACACACACACACACCCCTATGTGTTATACTATCTGTTTTGGTGATAGATCTGTATTATTAAATTTTTATAGATCTGAATTTATGTCCACTGTTTGGCTACTCAAACTCTCCATCCACAAATGTATGTGTAATATTCTTACTTCACATCCTATGCCCAGGTAATATCCCAATAATCAATGGCTTTTCACTGTTGAATCCCTTATAAGCTTCAGATGCCCATTCTCTCCATCTATAGAAAGCCATTGTCAAGCTAAATCCATTTCTCACTGAATTACCATGCATCTGCTTCATTCGTGTCAATGTTTCTTAACATTACTCTTTGCCCACACCACATTGCCTACTTCGAGTTTTTAACCATCATCTTTAAGTAGAAGACAAGTATCTCTCAGCTCTTCAACAATTTTTCAAATGATCAAACACCTTCAAACTCATGTCCAAATGCAAACTATGTAACTTGAGCCCCCAAATATGCCTGTCCTTCAATGTTGTCCTTTAGTTACAACACTAATAGTCTTCAAAACACTACAATTAGATGCTATGGAATCATATTTTACCCTTTCTCTTCTTTCACCTAATTCTCCAATCATTTCATAAATTCTACCAATTATTAATCAAAAATAGCTCAAAGCACATGCTCTTCTTAATTCATGAATGACCCTCTCGCACACACTTTGCTAAACCTTTCTTAGGCTATTTTGACAAGCTCCCACCTGTCTGATTTTGCATTGGAAACCATTTGCCAAACTGCAGCCACCATTAATATTCTAAGTATGGATTTGGATATCAGATTCAGATAGCACATTAAAGTCCTTTTTACTCTACTGTCCCCTCATTAAACTCCACAAAAAAACAATAGAAAAGTTAATATATATAGGAAAAACAGCTTTAATGGAACAAGAACATGGTTTAAAACCTCTTGATTGAGAAATATGACATAGACCTGCTAAATACTATGAAATTGGGATGATGATCAAGGAGGACACCAGTTACCAACAAATGGATCCCCAGGTTCAATCAGTCATAGAATTCTTCTGTGCAAATGCCAGAGTTTTGAAAATTCTATACAATAATTTTCTGATGGGAGCGTCCAGGAGCAAGAGCTGCTAAGTTCTAACGTCAAGGATGGGTCATCAGAGAAGCAAGAAATATACCCATTTATCTGATGCCATAAAACTGCAGAGGTGAAACACGATTTGAATCACAACCTAACTTCCTAATCAGAGGATACTGCAGGAGGTAAAGCAAGATAGAAAACAGAGAGAAGACAACAGTGTCAGACCCCAGAGGGCCTGCGATATCAGAGGCTTTGCCTTACACTAGGGATGCCTCTTCTGACAGCAGACCTAAATCAGAGCTGCGGTGCTTCACCCTACTTCTGTCTCCTTTCCTCCCTACTATAAAATGCACTACAATCCTAAAAAATTTAACAGGGGACCTATTCATAGAAATAAGAAAAATAAGAAAGAAAATAATGAAACAGAGGCAAAGGGTGGGTTTGGACATATAATAAGCAGTATAATCTCAGTGGGGAGGGCTCTCAAAAATAGGTGCAGGGATTTACAGAAGAAATATTCCACGCAAAAGAAAACTGGACAAGATAAAGCAAGCTCGAAGAATTTGGGAAAGAAAATGAGTGGAAAGAAAAACATTACAGAAACAAAAGTCATATTTAAAGCTAAAAAGTAAAATAATCATAAGAAAAACATATTCAGAGATATGTGAATAGTCCAAAGAAAACACACAGAGAGAAAAATAAAATAACCATGAGAAACCTATAGAAGAAAAAAAAAGCAAAATAAGCAGATACATAACTAGGAAAAAAGCAGAATCTACAGATTAGAAAAAAAATATTCAAATACACAGAGGTTGCCAAGGAAAGAAAAAAACTCAATATATGCCGAAAATACTCAATATATACTGTTACCAAAATATGAATACAAGTCATGCTGAATACCCCTTGTAACTGCAGAAGTCAAACATGACTTGACTATTACAATTCCTATGTATCTTTTCATTTCTTAAAATATATATACATTTTTAGCACCCTCTGTATATAAGAAGAAAATATTTGTAAATAATTCTTAAATCTGAGATTGAAAGAGTATGACACACAGAAATATGAGAATGTGCTCAACCACAGAAATACTCTGATAATATTGCCAAACTTCCCAGGCAGGATGAAAAACTTCATTCTATAACTCCATGAATGATATCGTCTTCCTCCAATGATGTCTAACTGGAAACTTAAAAGTCCTTGCAGACTGGTGACTTTATACCGTGAACTGGTGGTAGGAATTAACTAACCCAACCTCTCTAATATCATTTCAATCTGTTTTTTTCCTTCTAAACTTCATGGTCTCAGTCTTGGTCTAGGAGCGTTTGAGGTGGCTTCACTGCACCAACATGGGAAGAAAAGTTGTCTTGGGTCACACATTAAATGTACAAACACTAACAAAAGCTGATGAGAAAACAAACAACAAAAAAAAAAGGTCCATGCATAGTTTTTGTGATATCTGTCACCACAGATAAGCAAAACAATCCTCACATAATGCTCACATGCCCATGGGCCACGGCTTGGACCCCGCCACCCAGCAGGCCTTCATTTGTTTGCCTGTGCCGCCAACACAGTGCGCCAATGGCTGCGTACTCCTCAGTTTGATCCATCTTCCTCAAACCACTCAAGTGATCTTTCTAATGCATAAATTTTATCCTTCTTGCACCTTTCAGCAATGCTTTGCTGCCTTCAGAATGAAGTCTAATCTTCTCTGGAAGACCTGAGTGGACTTTGCCAATCCAACACATTCTTAACTTTTCCAACCTCATGGGTTACTCCTCCCATCCTGGCGCTGTATGTTCTACTCACGCTGAGCACGTGACATGCTCATACTTCTCGCTGTATCTTTGCATACATGGCTTTCTTTCCCTTCCTCAGATAGTCTACTCACACTTCAGTTCTCATCTTAGAAATCGCTTCCTGGAAGACTTCCCTGACACCTTCTTTCTCTTCCTTCAATCTAACACTGTCCCTCCTATGTGGTTAATGAGTCCCTTGGACAAATCTTTATCACAAACTTATCCAGTGGCTCATAGAGTACATTTGCATCTTCTTATTTCTTTGTTTTCATGAGCTATCTCACATGAACCACCTTTAAGAAGCTGTGACTAATTTTAGCCTCTTGGCCTGACAACCCAATACGACTATTCCTTCAAGTCTCAGTTCATATTTTAGCTCTGCTCTGAGAGTCTTTCATATTAACCAGTCGGAATTAAATGTTTCTGCCTCTATTATTCTTCAGAGCTAAGCTGGTACTTTTACTCCCAAGATATGTTAGGTCATGTCTTGCATAATAAGTTAGCCTTCCTGTGTCTGCTTCCTGCAGAAATGATACACGTCAGGAGAGGATGGGTAGTTCATTCATCTCTATGTTCCTTGTGAAACCCAGCATGGTACGTTGGTGGAAGCTCAGTAATACTGAGCTCCATGAGGAATATTATGAAAGTAAGCACCAGCATAAAAAATACTCCAAAGTCTCCCAGAGAAAAATATCTGAAGAAGAGGAAATACACAGCTCATGACATTTCTGTAATAGAGCTGAACAGAGGGTACGGCTGAAATGCTTCACTCATATTGGAAGGGAAGGAATCTGAATGCTCCTGCATAGATGGGATTATCAAGTGCCTTAAATATTTATGTTAATAGAAACTCCCCTTTTTCATTGTTTCAGTATAACTTAACCTATTCCCAGCAATGCTTCTTCAAATGTAACTCATTTAAAAAACAATTCATGTGGGGCAGCGCCTGTGGCTCAGTGAGCAGGGCTCCAGCCCCATATAAGGGTGGCGGGTTTGAACCAGGCCCCAGCCAAACTACAACAAAAAAATAGCCAGGCAATGTGGCGGGTGCCTGTAGTCCAAGCTACTCAGGAGGCTGAGGCAAGAGAATCGCCTAAGCCCAAGAGCTAGAGGTTGCAAAAGAATGAAACTCTGTCTCTAAAAAATAAATAAATAAACAAAAATAAGGTGGTGCCTATGGCTCAAAGAAGTAAGGCGCTGGCCCCATATACCAGAAATGGCAGGTTCAAACCCAGCCTCGGTCAAAAACTGCAGAAATTAATTAATTAATTAATTAATTAAATGAAAATAAAAACCAAAAAACAATTCATGAGACTTTGTATTTCGAACGAATGGTGTCACCAGTTAGAGGTTCATCCTGTACTCCTACTGTACACATTCTTAGATCACTGCTTGTTTTTCATACGTGAGATAAATGGTCACATTTCTATGAGTATAGACTTCCTTTATAATTACTGCTTCCACAATTAAACCATAATATAAATTGAGTGTCACAAATCTACTCAAATTAGCATTTCTTTATAAGTTCTCAAATACACATTCATCAAAATTTGGCACAATTTAATTCCTGCTTCTTATCAAGACAATTTAAATTTTCATGCTTTTAGTAAGGTTTTGAAAAAAAATACATAGTAGTTTGAACAGTGTACCAGTCTCAAAAGGCTAAATCTATTTTCTGCAAGTAAAAGTATTAAACCTTATTTGATACCATACTTAAACCAAAGAGGAATATTTCAGGTAAAATTTCTACTTACCCAATCTATTTTGTCCACATTCCAATATTTTTTTAAATCTCGGAACTGTATCAGCATTCCCTTCAGTCCCACCACAATAATGCTTGCAAGAACACACTAGAAATAAAAATAAGTTGATGAGGAAGCACGACAAAGATTTTCATTTAAATTTGCAAAGACCAAGGTATTTTTATTTCTTTGTTTTTAAATTACTTAGTAGAGAAAAGCAATCACCAATTACAAGACTAAACTGGTATTTATTTTCGTTTAAAACTAACCTATCATTTTACTTGAGGAATAAGATTTTAGGAACTCACACGTTAAAACTTGTACAATTCTAAAAAACAAGAAAGAAAAGGAAAGAAAGGAAAAGCAGTGAATTATAAAGGTGCATATCACGAGCTGAATGCCATCTTAACTATCATCATTCAGTGCTATTTGTTGGAACGTTTCAGGTTGCAAAAAGTTAAATCTTTATATCAGCTATTTCTTCATAATTGCATAATTAAATATCAATTGTCTGGTTTCACCTGAAGATATTTCTAACTCTCTTGAAAAGTGAACTTGATTATTAGAAAATCCTCTCATGAATGATTTTTTCTCATTACACGAATGACGAATTAGAACAACAAAGGCTGGAAAGGGGCTCTCTGAAGCCTGGAATCTTATTTGCGTCACTTTGCTGCCCCGGCTTATGAAGGGCAAGCTGAACCTAATGTTCTGAGTCACTTTGTGTAAAGGATGTTTTAAGGGTGGGAAGGTGTATTTTTTTTCCTCCTCCCTTGCCCCAGCACACGTGTGAAGTTCTAGTAGAATTTTTCCAAAGTCTACTTTGTACACCATGGTATACACAGTTGTATACCTCCCCCAGATGAGACTGAATTAATCTACTTCCCTTGTCCCTTTCATAGGAGAGCCAAGAAGAAGACGGCCATGGTATTCTCCTGCTCCTCTCTCATCGAATGAGCTAGCTTTCCACTCCTCCTTCCTTTAACCTTTACTTACATAACCCGATTTTCAGATTTAGGATTATTGAATTTACATTTCCAAGCAACGTCATATAGAGAGTGATTCTCACGAGAAGTTAAGTTACAAAGAAGATAGTGAAAAAGCACTACCGTACCATGGGCAGCCAGTAAAGCAAAGGTCCTATCGCATAGATGACGATAAGGACGAAAATGCAAGATATTAGACAAGCCACCTGCAAAATACAAGACAGACAAAAAAAGAAAGCCTTGAACTTTTTTATTATTCCAAAGTTACGGGGGTGGGGGAGGGATTCTTAGTTCATCTTGATTAGAAGAGGCAAAATGTTGGCACATCACTGTTAAATGGCATAGACTGTCATGATCTATATTTTGCAGCTGAGGGAAGCCGAATGTGACAGCTGACAAACTGGTGCAATCACATTAAGTCAGTGATGAGAGAAAAGCAATTCCACACAAAGAAATAGGACACCATCAACTTTATCACACATCACAGTGATGGCTTTTTTGTTTAATAGTGAAAGTGGCATTTCAATTAAAAGTTCTTTAGGCTGTTGGTGTGCAGCTTGACTCCTCTGTTTCGGAGGAGGTTATTTGGGTAACAAGTGAATCCGCAGATTAGGATTTTTCAGTGCTAAGGATATATTTCCACCAAGGCATTTACCCTCTTCTTTGGAGTTCTTTGTTAGTAAGGGCTCTAGTTATGCAGTAGTTATAAGGTGACACGGGAGCAGTCCCTGGCAGTGGAACAGACTTAATTTTCCTAATCCTGAAAAGTCATTAGTATCATGTTCTAACCAACTCAGCCTGCTGACAAAAGGCAATTCAAAACACCTGGCCCCCACACCTTCATGCCACTTGATGGAGAACCTAATTTCACAGGAGCAAATGTTCATGACTTAATAAAAACCTTTAGCCACACTCTCATCCTGATATGAGAGAAGGATGCTTGCACAGGGCCACAAAGATTCCTAGAACATCATTCTGGATGTTCTACGGAACATCAAAGGGACTATCAAAAGGAACATTCCAGGGAGTATCAAAGGGAATTTGGACCTATTAGAATGGCTTAAATTAAAAATAAATGTATAAACAAATAACCAATATCACGGGTTTGCAAGGATTCAGAACAACTGAAGTCCCCAGGCATCACTGGCAGGATTGTAATGATACAGCCACTTTGAAAACGGTTTTGCAGTTTATTATGAAGTTATACATGTACTTACCATATGACCCAGGACTGCCTAAGGGAAATGAAAACATATGTCCACGTGAAAATCTATATGCAAATATTTATAGAAGCTTTATTTGCAAACAATAACATCTATAAATAACTGAAATGTCCATGAATTGGTAAATCGATAAATCATGGCACATCCATAAAATAAAATACTACTCAGCAATAAAAAAGAATACAGATAAAATTCAAAACCATTAAGCCAATGAAAGAAGCCAGACACAAAGGCTGTATACTATAAAATCCTATATCTATGACATCCTGGGAAAAAAAGGTAAATTATAGGATTCCAGAGACTGGGCATAGGGGAAGAGAAGTGATTACAAAGGGGCATGAGAAAACTTTTTAGGGTGATAGAAATATTCAATACCTGGATTGTACTTGTGGTTATAAAACAATATACTTTTCCAAATAAAGTGACCTTCATACCTTACAAGGATAAATTTTACTCTAGCTAAACTATCCTTCCATAAATCTGACTTTTTAAAAACAAAATTGGGGAAGGGATCTGCAGTAGATGATGCAGACACTAGACTCCAGACACGCTCAGGGTCAAGTCCAGGGTTGCACTTGTCCTGACCCTGCTACTCTTAAAGGTGTCTGTGTGGGAAGAAGTAGAGTGGAGAGGGAATAACTATAATTACTTGGCTAAGGAAGTGGTCCCTCAAATGGGCATAAGAACAGGACTTTCCTTGTTGGCAGAGGCTGAGGGGGTCTGTTTCCCCACCCATGTTTTATGGAACTCTTTTCACAAACACTCCAGCATGAACAGGGAAAAATCATTCTTACATGGGAAACAAATCACTAGAGAACTAATGATTGCTCCTCAAAGAAGTTAGAGCACATCAAATAGTCCCTATACTCCTGTATTTAGGAGGACCTGGTGAGAATTTTTTAAACAATAAAATATTAATTCCTGCCATTCTACTAGAGTGCAAAGAGCAAAGGGTCAGAGTGTACATCACAGGTTCCACCCAGAGAACTCAGTAAGTGACTGCTTAAAGCCATGTGTATATGGAAAGATGCCAACTGCAAATGTTTATTTCAAGACAAAAAGACAACAACATGACCCTTTTGTGAGACTTTTCACTCATATGTTTATAATGTACTGAAAGCCAAAACCCTGAGTCTAAGGAGCTGAAATGAACTTTGGACAATTGGAGTCTAAACTTCTCGGAAGGATTTGAGGCAGAGAGAGGTAAAGCGTCTTGCCCAAGGTCGTAGAGTAGGGAGTTAGAGGGCATGCAGGCAATCTGGAAGATGCACTGAATTCAGATCCACAATATCCAAATACATTATAAAGTTCCTAGATAAATCATAACGCACTGGAGCTGCTGTAGAAATTACAACCTGACTAAATAATTCTATCTAAAAACAGTAAGCCACAACTATGTTTGGATTTTTCTCTAAATAATATGGAATTTCTCTTTTAACTACATGATCCTTTGTATGTACATCAGCAACGATTCAGTTATTGAACTCCAACTTCAGTCTTGTAATCAGAGTAAGAATTAACTGGATCTCACTGGGGTGAGACAAACTGTGGGTGAAAACAGCCATTAATTTACCTTAGATGGTAAATAGTATAATGATACTGACCATATAAGCAAATGGCTGCTGTCAGTTCCCTTCCTGTCCTTGCCCCCTCATTGCTGATGCCCTAGGTGGAAAGAGAAGTGTATGCATCTTAGTGAAAGCCTTCTCTGTCCTGCCCGTGTATCTATTTTCCAGTCATAGAAAATAATAGTGTCTGCCTCAAAGTTCTCAAAATCCTGAAATTCATTCTTCCATAAACAAGAGGTCCAGCTGCTGAGGTTTGTATTTGAAAAAAAATCTTTGAGATCATGCAATTCAAGCCGTCTTCCATAACTGCCAGCTCAGTGATTTCAAAAAGAGCTTCCATTAAGGTCAGATAATTGCAGTGCTATACCAGACTTCCCTAACTCAGGTTTCTGTGCTAACCCACTGGAGCGGTTTCTAAGGACCTTCAGATTTGTTACTTTCCGTATGAGGCATTCTTCCATTTCTCTGATCCACCTACACACAATTTTTAAAAGTAAGTTACAAATAGAACACGAGATAAATTTGATCCCTTTTTTATCTCAGAACACCAACAAAACTTAAGTAGCTCCTTCTAAATTAAGTTTCAGGTTGGCTTACGTTGTAATTAGTAAGAAAAACCGTTCACACACTTGCCAATAGGACAAAAACCATCTAGAATTTTATTCTTCAGCTTTTTCTATGTCACACTCAAGTGTCCAAATATAATTTTTTGTTTTAAAACCTTAACTATTCACGTCTAAGAATTAATTCTGCCTAAAGATAACAAAAATCTGTATTTTCTTCTTGTTACATTCTCATCTATTACATATATTGTATATTACATGCATAACATCTGCCTGACATATAACTCACACTTAAGAACAGAGGTCATTACAGGAAGGCCCCGAGTTACAAACATCTGACTCTTGTAACAACTCTCCCTTACAACTGGGGGCTATTACAGGTAATAGGTAAATGTACCTGTTCCAACCTCCATGCTTAAGATTCAACTTAAGAACAAACCTACAGACGCACAGAGTTATCTAAATCTGTATATTTGGTTGAGATGCTAGTTGTCTCCACCCTAGATAGTTGTCCAAGAAGGCCAAGTAGGTTGTGAGCTCACTCTGCACAGTGCTTTGTAGGCAGTAATGCAACAGTCAAGGAGTTGGGAAAGGGCAGGAAGAAAAGAAAGAGCATATTGGGGAACGAAGACTAAGTGAAGAAGGCTGTAAAGAAAATTAAAGGAATAAGCCAAATTTTGAAAAAACAAAGGAATCTAGTTTGGTGGATTAGAACCTGGGGACAATCTCAATGTTGCAGAAAAACACGCCAGCTGTTGTTTTCTGTTGTGGCTCAGCTGCCTCTGCAGCAGACGCTGCCTCCCATCCCTTGTGGTTATGCCTCCTGAACTCCCTGAGGAACACCAGCGTCTTTCCTCTGCTGGAAGTGAAGAGAAGCGTGCAGGAGCAGAGCCCGGGGACGCTGAGCTCCCTGCCATACTTAACATTCTCAGAGAGAGGAAGCAAGGAAGAAATACAACAGTGACCAGTATTCATGCTGTTCATCTAAGCAGCGTTATTTGCCTAAGCATGGGTGAGACTTCAGATACGCATGCTTCAGATGCCACCTACAAAGGGGATCACTGTGAAAAGGGTTTGTACATCAGGGGATGGAAATGTGTCCGGGCCTTTGACCACAACACTTGGTATTAAATGACTGACATCTTTTGTCATTCCAATTCAAACATTTTGATTTGATTTTCTAAAGCATTAAAAGGCATTATGGCCAACTCACCTGCTTATAAACTGGTCCTAAACTCACTGTCCAATACCGCCACGTGTAGCTCTTTGAGCACTTGATATGTGGCTAGACCATATTAGGACATGCTGAAAATGTATATAAAAACACACTAGATTTAAAACACTTAGAACAAGAAGAAAAGAATGCAATCATTTTGTGAATAATTTTTAGATTGCTAACTTTGAAATAACATTAGTGTATTTTGACTCTTAGGGAAATTAAAATATATTATTAAAATTAATCTTACCAATCTTATATTATTAAATTAATCAATAAGATCAATATATAATTAATTAATATTAATTATAAAATATAATTAATTAATACGTAATTAATTAAGATTAAATTAATCTTACCAATCTTATATTATTAAAATTAATCTTCTGGTAGCAAAAAATGTGGCTACCAGAAAACTTAAATTACCTGTGTAGATCTTATTATGTTTCTTTTGAAAAATACTTTTCTAATGATCCTAAGCCTGGTTTTAAGTGGGATTGTCTATAAATTTATATGTACCATATTAAGTGATAATGAAAACTGCCTCGTGTGACCAACCCCTTCTAATGTCAGAAAAACTGATAGTTTCTCGTATAATTACTGGACATTTGTATTTCTCACTAATTCTTTCTGTTGCGATTATTGAATCCCTGCTATCTGCCAGGTCCTGAGCTAGCCACTAACATGCAGTGAATCAAAGCAGACAGAGGCCCTGTGCCCCAGGAGCTTTCAGCCCAGGAGAGAAGGCAGATGTCAATCATATAATCACAGTAATGGACATTTTGTAAGGACGCTGAAGAAAAGGAATACAACTGACCCAGAATTGGCAGTGAGATCTAAAGGATAGGAGGGAGTGGCTTACATGGGAAAGGGAAGGCAGGAACTAAAATAAAAGGGACAGACGGGGAGGACAGGGAGGACAGAAGGAGGACCACGTGAGTGGAGAGCTGAGAAGGAGGGGAGAGCAGGCCATGAAGAGGCTTGTAGAGGGAGCACACAGAACCCCTGTAGGCAACAGAAAGGCCTGACTCCTAAGGCCTAAGCAAAGCCTTTTATGGGCCATAAGCAAAAAATAGCGTGACCGTATCTGCATTTTAAAAAGATGACTTTCCACAAAAATACTGTGCAGAGAAACACTGATAATCCTGAATTAAAGTCAGTTCGTAAAATGTAAGGTGGTTATCACTGGCCCTTTGATGGGCTGTCATTAGCCTAAAAGTTGAAGACTTTGTATGTATTCTAGGTTAATTTACTAGGTATAAATCTAGTCCCTGACGGGGGTGGTGGGGAGCATTTAAGATGTTGTTTTGTGTAATGTCACATAGAAAACTGCTTTCACCAACTGTCTATTTAAAATAAAATTTGAAGACTTGGCTTGCTCAGCACTTTCCTCAAATCATGTCAGTTGTCAGTTATACCCACATGAACTTAACGGTGGTTGCAGGGTTAAAGGTCTGAAATGACTCCCTGGGAAAGCACCCTCCGTGCGGGTATGCACATTAAGTCAGATTCTTTCCTTGTGCAACTTAATGGGAATTGTTGACAAACTTAGAGACCAGCTCAATAAGCAGAGCAGCTACCAAGCTTTGGGTTCCTGAACTAGAGTTTTGTTAGATTTCTTTTCATTCTTTTGAAGTCTGATGAATAGAAAGAATATCATACAGAAAAAAATAAATAAATAAATAACAACCCTGTTGAATAAAAAGATCTAGGAAAAGCTCTGTTGTTCTAATCATTCAGACGTGTGGCATCCAGAACAGCAAAAAGAACAAGTACCCCTCTGACTCAACCCTACTAATCAAACAAATGTATGCCCAACTCAAATGAAAACAAAATCTCAGCTTTCAAAATAAGGACAAGCTTTCTCAGAATATTCTGTCATTTAGACGCTTGATATTGAAAGTGACAAGGATTAATCAGATGGGTTCCTTTTTACTAAATGAAGATTTGAAAAGCAGTTAAATTTTACGGGAATGCCCAGTACATTTAAGGTAGAAACGCCTCAGCATCTATTCCAACCTTTTTTGTTCATATGACAAATGAAGGTGCTGACTTACTCAGATCCTACAGCAAATCAGAAGACAAACTTGGACTAGGAAATTGTCTCACTGCATCCCAACCAAACTAGACAATTTAGTACTGTTTAAAAAAAGGGGGGGTGGTGAAAATATTTTGCTATCTGAAAAATACTCAATAATAATGAAATCAATGATAGTTATTAGCTTATTTTAAAGAGCATTTATTTGGTGCTCAAGCATTGTGCTAACTCCTTTAATCTTTAAAATATTTCTATTTTAACATCCACATCCACTTAAGTTACAGAGGTTATGTTGTTGAGTTATTGGTGTAAAGTCACCCAAGCACAAATAGTGCAGCCAGGGGACAGCCAGGCTCTGAAACCCATACCCCTAGCACTCACTGTGTTTATTGAACTTGAACATGAAGACAGAAAGCTAATATATTCACTCTGGTTAGGACTGCACTCTGGTGGGAAACCAGTGGAAACTAACATAGAATCATAGAATTTTATTGATAGAAGGTCCTCAGAGTGAGGGGTGATATTTAGATACACTACATGTTAAACATTCAAATTTAGATCACACACACTTGAAAATAGTGTTTACAAAAATGTTTATGCCGATACACGTGATAAACCTATCCTTGAAATCACCGGCTGTGTAAAAATCAACCAAATTCCTTGTGTTGCCTAATAGGGTTAAATGAGGATTTCATTTCTTACCTGATGAGTTGGGGGCAATTATTTGTCAAACAATAACACGGTCAGAATTTGTTGTTGCTTCCCCTCTGCTATCTCATATGTTGCTATTAATTTCATTTGTTTTTTATTAGTAATTTTATTGTATTTTAATATCTGTTCACCATTTTTCTCTTACCACTTGTCCCCAAAGTTAAGAACCATATACTTTTGAAAATTTATTTTGTTACAACTTAAAAAAATTATTTAATATAGAACAGACTCTTCAATAAATGTTTGAATTACCACATATGTTCTTTTAATAAATTCCCATTGAACTCCTATTTTAAACATAATTTATTTTAATAACAGTTAACTGTTAATGTAAGTTTCTTGTATTAAAATATACATGGGGCCAGGTGCCATGGCTCATGCCTATAATCCTGGCATTGTGGGAGGCCGAGGCAGGTGGATTGCTTGAGCTCAGGAGTTCAAGATCAGACTGAGCAAGAGTGAGAACTCCATCTCTACTAAAAATAGAAAAATCACCGGGCGTTGTGGCAGGTGCCTTTAATCCCATCTACTTGGGAGGCTTGGGCTCATCACTTGAGCCCAAGAGTTTGAGGTTAGTGAGAGCTATGAGGCCACAGAGTAAGACAACAGGGCAACAGAGTAAAACTCTGCCTTAAAACAAACAAGAGATGCATGCATTTTCTTGTACAGAATAGTGGTTAAGAGTACAAGATCTGGAATAAATCTATTTGGTTTCAAATCCCAGCTTTGCCATTTACTAGCTCTGTGACCTAGATAAATTCCTTGACCCCTCTTTGCCTCATATTCTAGATTTTTTCATATAGAAACTGAGGATAATAACTATATCTTCTTCATAGGGTTGTCAACAGCCTTTAGAAAGTTCATTTAAATAAAAAGTATGGCAATCAATGCCTCCCTCACAACTCAATATTTTCTCCACTAACACCACCATCGCCTTCATAATCAACAGCTACCTCTTCACTATCATCATCATCTTATCAGTACCCAGTCTGATGCCTTGTATATTATAACCTCTCAGTGCCTGTCGAATAATTTGCATTCCCAAAAAATATAATTGTTTCTTTAACCTAAACCATGTGCAGACATCTTATTATACATTTAAACACTTCTATATCTGTATATGCATTAATTTCAGTGCATATACAACAGAATTTATTTTGCATATAATTTATTTTATTTAAAAAGAAATGAAAATGAAAAACTGAATCAGAGACACCACTAGAGGGAGCTCTGGTTTCAAAGATCGCTAAAAATTGCCATTCCTGCAGAAATGGTTAGTTTTCTCATTCAATCTTCAGCTTCTGGAACAGTCATTCATAGGGGGAAAAAAAAAAAAGAGTAAGAGAGAGTTCCTTGAAACTACTTGGAAAATTTTCAAGAAGTGAAAATATACTCAGGACTTTAAAGAGAAGCTCAGTCTTCCCACTCACAAAGCAGGACTGAAGCCCC